GAGCTTGGAAACTAAACCCTATTTGGTATTTTGCAGAACAAACCGATTATTAAAGATAACAAATTAAACTTATTTGCATATGAATTAACCGACTCCAGCGACATATTTTTTTTATTATGGTATTAATCTATTTCGCTACATCAATTTAGATAAAACAAGTCAAAATTAAACTAAGCAGTGTCAAAATATATTAATTGTAATTATAACATATACACCGATTAAGTAGGTACATTTCAAATTCCTCTAATGTATAAAATGTCCCGCTCAACAATAGATTCTTCACTTCTTTTTTGAAAGTTGGAATGTGGGAGATTTCACTAACACTTTTTAGGAACAAATTAAAAAAAAATCGACCAAGATAATGACATGTTTTTTGTATAATATACTCATGATTATGTTAACCAATTCTAAGGTTATTAGTATTTCTTGTGGGATATGGCCGGATAAGCAATGTAAACAGTTGATGAATTTAAATAAGACTTTTGTAAATGTTCGTAAATGTTTTTAAACCAAGTTTCAAATAAATCAGCGGTGGTGTCTTCATGGCAATCCAGAGAAGAATCTTTAATATTTTTCGCAGACTGAGAAAGTCCATTTGGAATCCAACGATCTTTAGAGCCAGCATGCAAAATAGTTATTGTTTTACACAAACCACAAAACTCCTGTAGTCTTTGATTACAATATGGATGGTACTGTCCTGACTAGGCTTGCTACTGTTAAGGATCTGGGGATTTTATTTGACCAGTCGTTCTCTTTTGTACCTCACATTACAAAAATGGTTTCCAGTGCAATGCAAATTTTAGGATTCGTAATAAGAAATTGCAGGCATTTTTGTAGCTCAGCTACTGTTAAATTGTTATTTAACTGTTACGTTAGGTCCAAGCTTGACTATGGTTCACTGATATGGTCATCAATTTATCACTGCCACACTCAGTCCGTTGAGAGTGTGCAGAGAAGGTTACTAAAGTATCTAACGTTCAGGGAGGACGGTTTCTATCCTGAGAGGGGAGTTGATCATGATCTTCTACTAAGAAGGTTCGCTATACTGCCCCTGAGCTTGCGCAGAGACTTGCAATCTGTTTCATTTCTCTATAAGTTAGTTCATTACGGAGTTGATTGTTCGTTTCTTCTGGAACAATTATGTTTTCATGTGCCGCGGCTGGAAGGGAGACATCAATCAACTTTCTTACCGCAGTTACCCAGGTCCAATATCCATTTTCAAAACCCCTATTTACAATATGTGTGCTACCTTCAACAAACTATCATCGTACTGCGATTTATATTATGATGGTCTCCAGGCCATACTTCAGCAACTTCGAATGGTGTCGGGTTATGCGTACCGTTAAGTCTTATCCTTTTCTTTCTCTTTCTCATTCTATCCTTCTTCATTTTTTTTTTTAGTTGTAAGATTAGTAGATTTAAGATTGGTTTCTACGTCCCCATATTGGATGATTTATATTTAATATTTCCTGTAATTGGGTCATGTTACCTGTTGGAAATGAAGAAATTATTTACCTCTTTTTGATGACGCTTTTGTTTTACACTTATCAGTTGAGTCAACCCAATCCTTTTCCGGGGCATCATAAGTGTCGAATCAGGTTTCATCCAAGTAAATAATTAGCCTTTATTTCATCAAAACTTGCTTTTTGTCAATTTTTTAAAATCTAACCCCCCATGTGTTGAATACACTTCCATAAGGTAGTTCTGCCACATTTAACACCGATTTCATCTTTTTCAAGATTCCTAATTAAGATATCTAATGTAGGCACGCTTTGTTCCTCGTATAACTGGTAAATTTTACGCCGTATTATATCTTGATCGCTTTCATCTACACTCGAGAAAATGTCAGCATCGCTTCTTTTTTTCCTCGCTGAAATGGGATTATTCACAATTTTCCATACAGTTGATGTTAGAATTTTCGTCAATGAGGCCGTTTCTTCTAAAGATGCTTGCTTGCTAGCACCACGTTCAATGAGAGTCAAATAAACATTGTTTATAACTTCCTTAGTCTCAATAGAATAGTGTTTTCTACATTTGGGCGGGAGCATCTCCTGAGATACACTAGACTCGCACATGTTTTGCATAATTCGTACACGATTCAACGCATGCTGTATTACACACGAAATAAGAATGATCACTAATAAAAATAAGAATAAAAATAAAGAATATTAAACACTGGTAGGTATAAAATTATTTTTTATTACGGACCACAATTTTAACTGAATTTAAATTCCGAAACTTTAGGTTGTAATCTTGTTGCATTGTATGTTAATGACCACCCTTGGGTAACCCCATTCAAAACCAATTGGTCACTTTCTTATATCTATGAACAGACCATACCTGCTTTATTGATTAATGCGACGGTTCTAGTTTTCATTAGCACCATTGAATCGCTTCAATCAAATGCCAAATGCTTACTTATTTTTAGTAGAGAATCGGACATTCCCCTTTATTACATTCTCTATGGGTGGGTCATACGGGTTATTTTGCAAACATTTACTATGAAAACTATTTGAAAATAAAGGAAGCATCAACACTTAAAAGAATGAAACATTATAATCAAAATTAGAATTAGTTGAAGCTTGATCCAAAGTTTGCTTTCAACATAGTATTTTATATTTCGATTTGTAGTGTCACGTGGTACTGCGTGACGGATACGTTATGGGACATTCTCTATAGGTAGAAATTCCACGTAACTGGTGATTAATTCAGCTGCAAGGTTGGGGCTAAGCATTAAATCCGTCCCTGCACAAAGAAGCAGTTAAGCAGCGCGGTCGGCATATAACCCCCGCTTCATTAAATTAAGCGATCCTCCGAGGATTACAACAAAAAAATATCATGGACAAAACACTCCCCGTGCTGCATTTGAGCCGCGAAAGAAATCATCGTAAAACTGAATTAAACGTTGACTTTTTTAAGATTCCCCGTGCCTTCATTACCTCGCCCGTGCAAGAATTAAAAATTAATTCTATCTTGTTACAAGTTTAATTAAATTAAAAAATGAACGACTCTGGCAGCGGGTGTCGAATTATACTTCAACTCTTCACCACGCGCCCGCTTCTAGTTATATTAAGAGATACAGAAAAATTCAAATTAAAAACTTCTCGGTTCCGAGTTTTAAACGAGACAATTACGTTTGGCTTTTTATCGGACCAAAATAAATAAATATTACGTGAGCCGAAAATTAAATATTAGAAACTAGTGTAAAATATAAGAATATGTAAAAAAAAATAAATTTAAATTACAAAAACGACTATAATATATGATATATACCCGGTGATTCGTTTATACACGGTCTAAAGCTAAGCTAGAATGGCAACATCGTGGTGTATACAAAAGTGAGGTAAATTTTACAACAATAAAATGCTTAGTAATGAATTCGAAATAAACTGTTCTGGTGGTGCTGAAATTATTGACGCATTTATATTCAGACAGTATGTTTGTCTAAGATAAAATTTATAATAAAAAACTTTCCAAAAAAAGCGGATATAAATTGATATATGTACTTAGAAATTCAAAATGTTTAAGTATTATAAGTATATTAACAAATGGCATCATCTATTCCTAAAGTACTCGTTAACAAACGAATTACTTCCAAAAACATGTAAAACAAGTGAGACAAAATATAAACAACCTCTCCGTGCCAAATCCATATTGGATAAGGGTAAGATCTTAAACGATGTGTACCCCAATTTGATTGAGAAATCTATCTAAGAAAAGCTAATTTTTTTTTCTTAGAACCTTTACTCAATGTTCTTTGAGCCTAGTTGACATTTTTCGTCCGGGTTCTTCAATATATTCTTTGCCACATTTGCATGGAATGCTATAAAGACCTGGTATCTGTGTTAAGTGTTAAATCTGAGTGTGACATTATATTTCTTATGAAATTGTGCTTTCGGACCAATTGTCTGGTGAAATGTATTTTGTGATGGAACGCTTAATATCTCTAATTTGCAAATTATTATTGAGAAAAGCAGATGAGTTCGGTGATTCGGGTTGTATACAAGAGAGTTGATAATCGATGATTTTTGGGCCGGATGGTGATGTGACGATGCACTAAGGTCTGTGTGCGTAGGTTTTCTGTAAACAGAATGACCCAATGTTAGGTATGATTTTTTATTGATAAAAACGTCTAAGAAAGGGATTAGTTGCCAACTCAATGGTAAAACGTATGTTAGAGTGTATAGACCTTAAAGGGCTAAGAAAATATCGAATAGATTCAAAAGGCTTCCACAAATATGTTTTTTTAAAAAATGTATCATTATAAGAAAAATATATTCCAGGCAAACAAGTTTGGTTTCAGATTCTGGGACTTTAATATATCTGAAATAATGTTGACAATTTCAGGGAGATTAGGGAAGAGGGATTCTAGGTAGAAACTAACCAGAATATCATGTGGATCTGATTGTTCGATGAAATGAAACGAATTAAGTACGAACCTATCAGTTTTCCGTGGCAAGGATTTTAATATAGAAGCTAGATATTTTGCTCGAGAATATGGTGGAGTTCGTAGAAACTAGGAATTTTAGAGTCATGAGGATTCTAATTCTGAATATAATTCCTATCATATTGGACCCACAACATAAAAATGATTGTGCAAATTGTTGGAGCCTTTCGGGGAACACATTTTGGAAATTTTGCAGGATGAAATCAAAGGAATGCAACTTAATTTACGTCAGGAACAACCTGATCCACCCCGTATATCGGTAACGAAAGCTAAGCAGAGCTCGACTTTCTATTCGGTCAAATCCGTCGACGATTAATAAACGCATAAAACAAATCCGATTAACTTTTAAGTAAAACGGGGATAAAGTTCCCCCTTTTCATAATGCCGGGGGCAAATTTTTTTCGTCAGACGTTCGACCAACTGGCGTTGTAAAATTTAAAAAAGCCTCTATCGATGGTCGCCACAACTCTTGTCGTTTATCGAATGTGTCATTGAATGAGGCGAAACGTCGGAGCAAAGTAAATATCTAAACACGAGCCCAACAAAGTCTTACCTTTACTTGAGACTCGGTCATTCCCAAAGCGTAAGCTAGTTTTGCCCTCTCGGGACCCGCTAGGTATTTGGTTTGTTCGAACGTTTTTTCTAGAGCAAATATTTGTTGTCCGGAAAAAGTAGGCCTTGTGTGTTTCTTCTTAGCGTCTTTGTCGGGTCCAAGGGCCCCCATATTGGACTGGTTCACTGAAAACAAATCGCAATGAATCAAGTTATTAAATCACTACGTAATCATTTATTTAAGTTTTAAAAGGGCTTTTATACCATTAAATCAAAAACTGCAACATTTGCTTTTTAAAGATTGCTGCTATATCGTGTGTCAGAACAAGATGGTGACACTTAAGGCCGCGAATCGTTAGGTGATTTTAAGACTAAAAGTTTGACTTTTGTCCTAAACGTTTTTGCAGTTACACTTGCATTATAAGGTATAAGCTATAAGTAGAGATTGATGGAGTGTAAAGATACTATTAAATATGGAGCACCACAACCATTAGTTTTCAGGATGACACTGCCGTCTTTTGTACAGAGTGTGAAGATGCGTAAAGAATTTGGTTCCAACTATTCCACGTTTGAATTTTCTTCAAAGATTTCTTAAATGCATCTTTGAGAGCTACATGTCCTATATATTTTAGATTGTGTGTGCGGAAACTCTTCCTTTTATACATTGTGAATATTTAGTTAGATAACTATAAATGTATGGTTTGTACATGCTTGGGCGATGAATTATGTTATTTTTTATTTTATTTTATTTTGCAATTAAACAAATTAACCTTATATCCACATATGCAACTCTCCTTTGATATAGTAATGATAATTTTATGAACTTTACGTACAAGGTATAAGCATTTGATGCTTCTGTGATTTATGAACTTTTAATTACTGGAATTAGTTTTTTTTTGTATTTTAAAACGTTAGTTTATCTTTTGCTATTTGTTATAAAATATGGTATATAAAAGTTATTAATACAGACCTTGAATAACTACTTGAAGAATACTTATGTCCATGTAATTTAATTGCATAACCATATATTAATTGCTTTCCTCGACGCTAAAGGGTAGTAATAAATTTCTAATTGAAGAATTCCATAAAAAATATAAAATTAAAACTAATTGTTTTTAAAATTTAGTCTTGGAGATATTTTTAGCGATAGACGCGTTATATAAGAGCGCTTTAAAGACCATGATATGGGGATACTACTTTTAAAACTAAATTCGATATTTAATTTGGCATCCTTGTATCCATCCGAGAAGTATTGTCGTTAACTCTTCACGTAATTGTATGCTTCGCTGCCATAACAATCTGTCTCATAAATTAAGAAAGGCCATAAATTAATCTTTGATTAATTGACAATTAAAAAAGACGTAAAGGGTCGGATATTACCGCCATCAACTCGAGGGACGTTAAAGTTTAATGATCGTGTGATTTTTTTTCAATAAACCCACCTACACTATGTAAAATACCCGAAAATAAACTTGAGCTACTAATGACATTTTCAGGCGTACAAATTAATGCTCCTAAAGTGATGAGATGATCATCAAAATAAACTCCAAGCCACGATCCGAGTTTTTTTTCTAATATTAAACCGTAACAAAAAACCGGATATATAGCGCGACAGTGACGTGTGAAACACGCTTAATCCTTGCTCGTATTATCTGAAAAATTCATAATCCCATATATCGGTTCCAATTATAATTTTGACTCGACACCATACGAGGCATACCTATATCTAACTGCAAGATTCCGATCTTAAACATTTTGTCCCCAGGTTATTTTTTAAAAGGGGACGATATAAAAATAGGCAGCGTGACATCTGCGGAGACAGTTACATTATTTTTTTTGACGCATTTTAATATCGCGTGGCCGGTTGCCAAAGTAATAAGGAATTTTCCGGTTTTAAAATGGAAAACAAAAAAAAACGATCGCGGCAAAATCGATAAAAACAAAAAAATGTTTCGCCCCATAAGTAAAACCCATCATATTTTATATAAATCCAATATTTATTTTCCCCTTCCCGTCATGTTTTCCTGTGGTCTTTAGCCGTGTAACATGTGTTGAAAGAGTGAGATAAAGAGATTGTGCCAAGTAACTGATTCTTTTGGCCCCTGTTTCGTATTCAGATGGCGTTTTTCGTCCCTCGGTATATGCCATTGGTTAACTATTGAATTCTTTTTACTGCTTGTGAAACAATCGCTTTATATAGAGAAACAACTATGAAATTTTATTACCCATCTTCACTTTAATATATTTGCAATGCGCCTTTTCTCTATCCCTTTTTTCCCCAGTTTTACCGATCGATACGACGTATCGAGAAGTGAGACTTATCTTATTTCTATCAAAATTTGTTACTTACCATATCGTGCAAAATATTCGTTTTCTGAAATTAAAACAATAGTATAGTATTATTATTGTTTTGTTTTTTTTTCTTAAATTAAAATTAGTCTACAAGTTTTCCCCCGCTAAATTTAAAAATTTCAACAGTTAGCCCCTCTCCAGCTGATGGGGGAATATAAGACCCAAAGAATAAGAATTGTATTATTTTTCAGTCTAACACATTTAAGCTGTTACAATTCGGAGTAAATATTTTAAAATACTTTTTTTATTTTAAAACATTTGAAACCCCGTTAAAAAGTGAGCAGAAAGAAAAAAAATTATTACATAGGAGGCTTTACTTTACATTTTTACCTAGTTCGTTTTGTAGTGTTATAGATTTGGATAATCATGAAAAATAATAGATTTATAAATAAATATAATATAAAATAGAAGAGAAAGCTCTGGACAAGCTCGTACATTGGAAAGAAAAATCCAAATTTTTTTTTTTACGCGAGATCAGCTAGCATCACTTTTCTGGTGGTAACGATTGGAATTTTGAAATACTTTCAACAAGTCACATTATTTATACATGTTGATCCGTTGAAAGTGATTTATTATGGCAAAAAGATTATGTATTCTTCCGGGATATGCGGTATGCACTAAACACTCTCAACTAAAATGTGTACAGAACATAAAATATTAGCAAAATTAAATTAAGAACATTAAATAATTTTTTAAAAAACAAGAAAAAATGGAAAAAATTGTCCTATATATCGGCTCCATATCCTTATTAAGTAACCTAAATATCGCTGTGTCGAACTGCTTAAATATTGTAGAATGTCTCCACGTTTTTATATCACTCGGTATAACAAATCACATTGCTTAATTAATATTTTTTAAACTTTTTGACGTGTCTTTCTATTAATTAATCTTATTGGCAATAAATGTATTATAAAAAACGAACAAACTGAGAAAGTCAAAGGACAAGCGCAAGCAAAAAATGTATAGCTATATAATTTAATTAAACTCGGCGGTGTATTAAACTTAATTTCATAAATGCCGCGTCGGAGGGCGTAAATAAGTCGAAAACCCTTTAAAACGATATTCCACTCCGTTTAGGAGAAAGGGAGGAATTGTTATCATCTCAATCTATCTTCCGTATCGGGCAGAGTGCCTGTGCGTGTCGTGTAGAACAAGCATCACCATTGTAGAAGTGTTTCTGCGGTTGCTGGAGGCGGTATCCTAGCAACGGGAGCGGCAAGTCAGGATGAAAGAGCGAGATAGGTTGCGTCGGGGGGGTGGGGGTGGTGGTGGTGTTCGACGGGGGTGGGGAGGGATGGAGGCGCTCGGGCGACGAGCTGCCTCCGCATCGCCGATAGAGCAAGCTGTTTTAAGCAAAACACCCTGTCGGAATAATTATATCTCTAGATAACGGGATCAAGAGATTATCCAGTTTAGTATCACCCCATCTCGCTTATCAAAACGCTAACACACTCTTACAAGCTATGGCTATATCTGTTGTGTGTTATCCCTCGCGTTAGACGAATAATATCTTGATTGCGCATTCATGAAATGTTCGTTTTAACTGCCGCCGCAATTTTGGAGACGCCGCGTCGCCATTTGTTTTATCGTATTTCATTATTGCACGCTCGCATTTAGCGAAGAGCGAATTTGAACGATCCCCCGCGTCCCGCCCTTTTATATCTGGCCACGATCATATTTACGTCAATAACGGACTTATAGTTCTCTCAGACGTCGACGAGATATCCAGCAAAAAAGAGTAAAATTTAATTATTTTATATTACTTTATAAAAGAGTAAAGAGTGCAAAAGTCAAACTTAATAATAAACTTCTTTCATGATAAGAAATAATAAAAAAACTTTGGAATCACTTGTAATGGGTTTCTTAGGTAAAGTGATTTCAATGAAGAAGAATTAAGACACCTTGTATAATCCAACAGTGAATAATCTTAAAATTACTTTTTTTTTATCAAATTTCTTGATAACTATTTACAAAGAATTATATTGCTTTCAATAGTCCATTTTTTCTTATATCATATATTCCCTACTACTTAATTAATTATTGTTTTTTTTTCTATTAAAAAAAAGACAAATTTCGCAGGAAAAAGAGAACGTTTCGGTTTAAAAACAAAATGCTTAGGCAAAACGTCTTAGCTTCGTATATCCGCAACTAAATATTTCTTATTTATATCACATATTTTTATATTAAGAATTTCTTTAATCCAGTCGGACATATTAATCGTCTATTTAAGATTGCGTGTTTTATCAATCAAATTAATTATTTCAATTTTAAACTTTGATATTATTGAAATTAAGTGGCTTTATTTTAGAACTCATTTTTCTTAGAATGAGATTTTTTATGTTTCTTTTTAAAATAGTTTATGTTTTCTATTCTGGAGAATAGCATATTTTTAAATGAACAATAAAGAATATTGATTGATATTGTAGTAAATATATATATTTAATTTTAGTCAAACATTTAAGACAATTTGTAAGCCCCGTGATTAAATTCTTTTTTAATGGGCAAGGGATATAAAATTTTTAGTGAATCAACTTTTTTCATAATAAGAAACAATAAAAAACCTTTGAAATCTATTATACTTGTTGATATCTAATATTTCAATTTTGATATTAAATAATGTATGGACTTATTGTTTTTTTTTTAATTTTAAAATTGTAATATATTTTTACTGTTTTACTACTTCCCAATAAACAATTATTATTATCATTATTATTATTATTATTATTATTATTATTATTATTATTATTATTATTATCATTATTATTATTATTATTATTCATATTATTAACTATGTCCTTGTCATAGTGTATAGGATCCGATTTATCAGTGATTATTCTTTTAGACTCCGATAATTCGTTTTGTTCTGTCTTTGCCTTTCATTTGTCACTATTTCTACACTTCTTACAAATTATAAAAAAACAATAGAGCGTGAGAGAGAAACAAATAATTAGGTATCAAGGTGGAAATGATGGCGTTCACTGTCCCTTTTCTAATAATTTTACTTTTATTACATGTCATTATTATTTGCATTTATTTTTTAAAACAGGACTAATTTCCATGATAATTATAACTTATACCATGACAACGACTTTTATTTCATCAGTATTCGCATTTTAGTATATATTGCCAAGTAATATTTGTGATGATCAATTGGAAAACAGACGATCTTATTTAAACCCAAAACTTTACTTTTACATTTTCAAGTACAACAAAAATTTTCAAATATTTACGAAGATTGATGCAAAAAACAATGCAATTAGAAATAAATTTCACACTGAATTAAAAAACCAACTGTTTTAAATGCTAGGGAAATTTAGGAATATAATAATAACAATTATTACTAATATAAATATTATTTTTGTCAAGACACTGTACAATAATTTAGGCAAAATATTTTGGACTTAAATATTGAGAAGCAGAATGAAAATCAATATTAAGAAAATGCTGGTTCATTCTCCTGGTTAAAAACAACAAAAAAAAGTATATCTATGTATGGTGAGCGTGAGTGGTGTATTTGTAAAAATGTTAGTGTCATCTAGCAATAAGTGTATGTATTATGTATTCTTTTAAACCGATCATTTTAGGTTGTGGCCGAATATTGTTGTAAAAAATATACATGTTGTAAGAATCTTGTAAAAAACGTTATATTTTAAATGCGCCCAGAAATGTGTCCATGATACGAGGTACGTTAGGAGTGTACCATTTCATGGAACTTTGTAGCATAGTGTAACTTTCTGCTATCTGGCATCTATATACAGGCTGTCTCAGTCGAACTTATTCAGGCATGGACCACAGACGACGATGAAAGAATAGTAGTAATATTTTTTGGGTTTTCGATTGGCAACAGATAAAAACAAAAACAAAAAATAAACCCCAGTTACAACATGTTGGTGTATATGGAATATCGTACCCCCAATGTCAATGTTCACATTTATATATAATAAATTATGAGAACGCCTAAAAATAAATCTTAATTAAAATATTGACGTTTACATAACATTCGTTTTTGACAAATTTTGATAGGTCGCACCTTAAGCAAACAAAACAAAAATTTACTCTATTTAATTGGCGTTAATCGAATAAAAACATGTCGATTTCATAAATATGAAACGCGATTTAACTGTGAAATGATTTATCAACAAAAACTAAAATTGACATTGAAATCGGAGAAGATTTATGGTCCGCCGGCAATTAGAATTATCGAATTCAATTTAGTAACGAATGCTGATATGCGCATAGATACGAAGGGTGTCCTTTTAAAACAATTGTTTTTATGGTGTAACAGTGCGCGCACCCTATCAGCAGTCGAAATATTGGATCGTATATGTGATGCGATGCCGTATATCCATAGGCGTATCTTTTAATTGAAACCATAAAATCGGCCCTCTTGCCTGACGTGTTCCCCTGCCGCGTATACGCAATTTCATATTTTAAATCGCACATTAAATCAACAAACCGCCCTGTTTGATTTTTGGACGTCGATGCTCACGTCTCCTCTCGATAACTATCGCTCGTAATTTTTAAAAGGTTGTGATTTTTCTATTTTGAAGAAGGAGAGAAATAACAATATTAAAATTACTGGTGGTAAGTTATCAGATAAATCAGAAAAAGTTTGTTTGATTGTTTGAGATGTTCACATACTGTTGGACTCCATTTTGAAGTTTATTCACTTTGATATTTCTGAATCGTTGCTTATTGAATTCAGTGTTAAAAATTGGGGCTAACAATTGATATCAAAATTCCCCAGCCATTTTAACATCTGCTTATGATAGGGGTATTCAATACTGAAATCTTTATAACGCCATCTAACGCAAACGCCAAAACTAACTCAATGATTCCATCCCAATATAACTACTGCGACAGCATCAATGCACCATTTTTAGATTCTTCTGACAAACAGCGCATACAGCTACAAAATTAGCGTGTTCTGTTTATTTTTGGAATTCGACGCCGAGATATATTATATATCATAGCATATATCATAAATTAAAATATTAAAATATAAAACTCCCCCTTACCTTT